TATATATATCCTAGCCTGGTCACCATTTCATGGCAACCCTCCAGCTTCAGCCTCCCGAGGGCTGAAATTATGAACATGAGCCCCCTGGCTAATGGGGGCCTGAACTTTAGGGTCTCAGTAAGAATTGAGGGCCTGTGTCCCAAAGGAGGGGGGCTAGGAACAGCTTTGTGGGTCACGGAATGAAGAGAGGCAATGGGGTCCCCTCCACTACTGGGCATGGTAGAGAAGGGTAGAATGTAGGGTGGGGGGTCAGATATAACTGTAGACAAGTTTGGTCTCTCGGGCTTATAGAAACCCGGGAAGGGGTGTCCCCACACCAGTGCTGAATGTATAGCTAATGCGTGTGCCCCTCTTCCTGCCTATGGGCACTGCGACTTTCCTTCTCTCTTTTCTCCATCTCCTTCTTAGCACTGGAATCTAAGATCTTCCCTGGGCTTCTGGGCCTTCCTCCTAGGGTATGCCAAGCCTCTGCAGTGAACTCTTGCTAATTATCTTTTTGTATTCCTCCCTCTCCATTGCTACCCAAAGAGGAGCGCCCCAAACCAAGGTGAGGTGCTTCAGGGTGGGGACATGTCCTCCTCTGTTCCCTGCAAAGACAGGGCACTGGAAAAGAGTCCAGTTTCCAAAACAGAGTGGGAGGGGGCCTTGTGTCAGCCCAGGGTAATCAAAGAAGGCTTCCTGGGAGAAGTGATGCCTGAATCCTAACCAATGAGGGTCTTACCAGCTTAGAGAGGGAGTGAGGGATATCGAAGCAAAGAAAGCCGCGTCTTATATCAAAGTCCAGTGGTTGTATATAAACCCCAATCTGGATGCAGACCCTGTCATTCCACCCACATGAGGAGGTCACTGCGCCAGGCAGACCACTACAGGTTGTGGGATCTGGGCCGGCTTATAGGAGGCCTGATGCACTGGTATTATGGCAAAAGCTTTGAGCTGCAACACCACCACAGAAAGAACCAGAAGCAAGTCAGGCTACGTGGCACAGCTTTTGTCATCCCAATTACTCAGGAGGCTGGGGCAGGAGAGTCAGAAGTTTGAGGCCAACCTGGATTCAGTGAGTTCAAGGCTAGTCTGGGCAACTTAGTGAGACCCTGTCTCAAAATAGAGTAAAGCTCGGTGTGGTGACACACACCTTTGATCCCAGGGCAGAGGCAGGCAAATCTCTGTGAGATCACAGCCTGCCTGGTCTACATAGTGAGTTCTAGGCCAGCTGGGGCTTCAGAGAGACCCTGTCCAAAACAAAAACAAAAACAAAAAAACCTTAAAAAAAGGGGGGAGGGGAGCTGGGGATGTAGCTTAGCAGTAAAGTGCTTGCCTAGATTACACTAGTGAGGAGCTTGGGTCAATGCTCAGTGATGCTTAGTATGCACTATTCCCTAACTAACTCCCAGTACCACAAACAAACAACCAAACAAGGAATAAGTAGAAATTCCTGGCTGGGTGTGGTGGCATTCACCTTTAATCCCAGCACTCCAGAGGCAGAGGCAGGTTGATCTCTATGAGATCAAGGCCAGCCTGATCTCATGAATTCCAGGGCAGCCAGGGAGACTCTTTGAGATAGAAAAACAAAAAAAAATCCTAGAAATTCCCTAGTGGATTGGAGAGGTAGCTCAGTGGCTGACGGCAATGGTTGCTCTTGTAGAGGACCTCGGGTTTGATTTCCAGTACCCACATGGTGGCTAACAACTGTCCATAACTCCAGTTCCAGGGGATCTGACACCCTTTTCTGGCCTCTGCAGGCATTGTACACGCATGTGGTACACTTACATGTATGCAGGCAAAATACACGAATTTAAAACATACAAGTTAAAAAAATAAAAGGCTAGCTGGGCATGGTGGTGCATGCCTTTAATTCTAGCACTTGGAAGGCAGATGCAGGTGGAGATCAAGGCCAGCCTGGTCTACATAGTGAGTTCTAGGTCAGCTGGAAAAAAAATAAAAATAAAAGACTAGAGTGCAAGGGGCAGGTCTGTAGAGGCCAGTGCACTGGGGAGCCATGGAAGGGTTTATAAGAAGGGGAGGTGTAGGCTCAGGCTGGTTGAGAGGTCACTAGGACACAGATGTTCTTCAGGATCAGGGAAGGTATATGGAGCAGGAAAGGCCACCAGGGCGGCGGAGCCTCCCAGGGGAAGGGCAGAGGGTGCCAGATGTGCAAAGATTTAGCAGTGTGTGTCGGGGGAGCAGGAAATCATGAAGTGTGTGTGTGTGTGTGAATGTGCCACGGTTCGTGGAGGTCAGAGGACAACTTATGGGAACTGATTCTCTCCTTCCACTATGTGGGTCCCAGGGATAGAACTCAGGTCATCAGGCTTGACAGCAAACACCTTCTACAGGCTGGCCCATCTTGTCCCCCCGACCCACCCTTTTCTTAAATGCTGAAGATTGAACCTGAGGCCTCACAGATTTCAGGCAAGTGCTCTGCCACTGAGAGACCACCCCCAGACCCCATCTGTAGATTTCAGGCAAGTGCTGTACCACTGAGAGACCACCCCCAGACCCCATCTGTAGATTTTAGGCAAGCGCTCTATTGCTGAGCCACATCCCCAGTCCTGTTTCACTTTTCATTTTGAGACAGGGTCTCACCCGTTGCCGGGACTGGCCTTGAACTCATTCTAGCTCAGGCAGGACATGAACTTGCCTTCCAGCCTCCTGTGCAGATAGGCTGATAGGATGACAAGGCTTGTGCCACCAGGCTCTGCCCATTTAAAAACATATACGAAAAACAGGTAAAACAAATTGCCATACCATATTTTATTTAACACATCGCATTCCTTTGTTGGTACGAAGACCCCAGCAAGGCTGTATTTCACCACTGTGGTCTTTGCACAGACTCACCACACTGGGGGACAGTTGTCACTTTGGACAACATGTGTCAAGTGGAGTGAGGGAGGTCAGCCCACTGATGGTCTCTATTCCCATGTGTCCATGCAGCCGTCCTGTGGTGCCTCCTTTGATCCCCCCGAAGATTCCAGAAGGGGAGCGTGTGGACTTCGATGTAAGTGACAGGTGTCCCACCCCAGACACAGTTGCTGGCCCCTCGGCGCCTTGCGCCCATTAGGAAAGGCGCCCCTCGCCGCTGCCTGCTGGATTTATCCCAGACTACTGCTATCAGCAAAGAATGCTTAGCTGACATCTGTCGGAAGCCGTCCCAGCTGGCTGTCAATCATCACCGCCTGGGGGAGGGGCGGCTGTAGAGCGCTGGACCGGAGTATTTATGCCAGCCGCCTCATGGACTCCCTCTGCAGGACATCCACCGGAAGCGCATGGAGAAAGACCTGCTGGAGCTGCAGACCCTCATTGACGTACACTTTGAGCAGCGGAAGAAGGAGGAGGAGGAGCTCATTGCACTGAAAGACCGCATCGTGAGCGAGGGGAGAGGGGGTGTCCCTGTGTGTGTGTGTCCTCGTACATCCCTCCCCTCCATCTGTGTGGTGCCTTAGGGTCTCACATTGTACTCAAACCTGTATTTTGGCCTAACCTGGGGATACACATCTGTGATCCCAACACTCAGAAGGCTGAGACAGGAGGATTGCACCGAGTTCAGGATCAACCTGGCCTACATCAGACCATATTTCAAAAAGAAAATCTCATTTATGGGCTGGAAAGGTGGCTCAGTGTTTAAAGGCATTGGCTGTTCTTGCAGAGGTCCTGGGTTTGGTTCCCAGCACCCACATGGTGGCTCAAAACCATCTGTAACTCCAGTCCCAGGGGGTCTGACACCCTCTTCTGGCCTCTGTGGGCATTGCACGCATGTGGTGCAGTTACATACATGCAGGCACTCACATAAATAAAAAATACAATGAAAAACTCACTTCACCCATAGCCTACTTTGGGAGGGATAACTGGGGGGAGCTAGCTTCTGCACCCCCTCATCGTCCTCCCTCCCACCTCCAGGAGCGGCGCCGTGCAGAAAGAGCTGAGCAGCAGCGCTTCAGAACCGAGAAGGAGCGAGAGCGCCAGGCCAAGCTGGCGGTAGATGCCTATCCCTCCTGGGGGAAGACAGTTCTATAATCTCTGTGGTTCTCACAAAGTCCCCAAGCTGTATGACTTAAGGATCTTCCCATTGGAAGGGACGGAAACCCCAAACATTGATTCAGCTAAGAGGATGGAACATTTATTTGCATTGGTGCACATAAATGAAAAGTCTAGGGGCTGGAGAGATGGCTCCGTGGTTAAGAATATTGGCTGCTCTTGCAGAGGACCCAAGTTCAGTTCCCAGCACCCATGTGGCAGATAACACCACCTGTAACTCCAGTTCCAGGGGATGTGATGTCATCTTCTGGCCTCTGTGGGACTGGATGCATGGGTGCATCTACCTACATGCAGGCAAAACACTCATAAACAAAATATAAATTTTTAAAAGTCCACAGTTGGGCTAGATTCAGGCATGGCTGGATCAAGGTCTCAAGCCATACCACAAAGACTGAAATTTGTTGGGTGTGGTGGGTTCCCACCTAAAATCCCAGTACTGTGGAGACTGAGCCCGGAGAACATACTGAATTAGAGGCTAGCCTGGACTACATAGTGAGCTAAGGAATGGATCCCTGCATGACCCTAACTTCACTGAGCATGCAGCTGAGCCCTGGGCCATCCATGTAGGACCCTCATCCCTCAGTCCTGGAGGGCTGCATGGGCTGAACCCCTCCTTTCCCACAGGAGGAGAAGATGCGGAAGGAGGAGGAAGAGGCAAAGAAGCGTGCAGAGGATGATGCCAAAAAGAAGAAGGTTCTGTCCAACATGGGGGCCCATTTTGGGGGTTACCTGGTCAAGGTGAGTTTAGCCTACAGAAATCTGAGGTCTACATTCACAGGGAGGGAAGGGAGACTTCAGAGTGCTGGACCTGATGGGGAGGCCTGAGGCCTGGGCTCCTGGGTCTGAAGGAGGAGGGCTGGGGTCTGGAGCTCTGGGTCTGAGGGAGGAAGGCTGGGATCTGGAGTTCTGGATCTGAGGGAGGAGGGCTGGGGCCTGGACCCCTGGGTCTGAGGGAGGAGGACTGGGGCCTGGACCCCTAGGTCTGAGGGGGGAGGACTGGGGTCTGGAGTTCTGGGTCTGAGGGAGGAAGGCTGGGGCCTGGACCCCTGGATCTGAAGGAGGTGGGCTGGGGCCTGGACCCCTGGGTCTGGGGGAGGAGGGCTGGGGCCTGGAGTCCCTGCATCTGAGGGAGGAGGGCTGAAGCTGGACCCTGGCATTGGCTGAAGTGCTGGCTATGAGGGCAGGCTCCTGAGTAGAGCTGGCCTTGGCATTATTTCCCTGACTTGATTTCTCCCCCTCAGGCAGAACAGAAGCGTGGGAAGCGTCAGACAGGTCGGGAGATGAAGCTTCGGATCCTGTCTGAGAGGAAAAAGCCCCTGGACATCGATTACATGGGAGAGGACCAGCTGCGGTAGGTGGTCTGGCGGCTCAGCCATGTGCAGGGAGGTAAGGTGGCTCACAGCAGGTTTCCATGTGCCATACCCTGGGTCTGTGTTACTTCAGGCAAGTGGCACTCCTCTGGGCCACCACTGCTTGTCTCCCCTCAGTGTCACTGCAGTGCGACCTGCCCTTGTAGCTGGCATGTCCTGTAGAGACTAGCATCTATACCTTCCTCCTCCTAAATTTAGCTTTAGTTGAGGAGATAGACTCAGGAGGAACAGAAGTTCAAGGTCATCCTCTGCTACCTACTGGGCTGGAGGTGGTAAGTCAGCCTAGGTTACAGGAGACCCAGTCTCAGAAATCAAAACAAAACTAAACACAATAAAAAATAAGAAACAAGAAAACAGAAAAACCAAAACCCAAAACCCAACGCAAAACACGTCAGAGTGGCGGGTCTGGGAATGGCTTCTTTCTCTTCTTTGAGAGGTCTCTTTTGGATGTGGAGAAAGTGATGACACATTTTTATTTTTATTTTTGACTTATTTATTTTTATTTTATGTGTATGTGTTTTGCCTACATGCATGTAAGTGCACCTGTGTGTGCAATGCCCAAGGAGGCCAGAAGAGTGCATTGGGTTCTCTGGAACTGGAGTTATGAATGGTTGTTAGCTACCATGTAGGTGCTGGGAATTGAACCCAGGTCCTCTGCAAGAGCAGGCAGTGCTCTTAACCACTGAGTATCTCTCCTCTCTCTTTGGCTCCAATCTTTTTTTTTGGGGGGGGTCTTTTTGAGAGAGTCTCCCTGTAGCCCCGAACTCTTAGAGATCCGCCTGCCACTGCCTCCCGAGTGCTGGGATTAAAGGCATGCACCACCACACACAGCCTTGGCTCCAATCTTAACAAGACTGCCAACCAGACCAAACTCAAGAGACTTGCTGTGTGGCTTGGGGCAGTTCCCTCAACCTTTCTGGCTCAGCACAGCCCGAGTCTCCCTGCATCCCAGCACTCTGTCACTTTGCCAGGGAGAAGGCCCAGGAGCTGTCCAATTGGATCCACCAGCTGGAGTCGGAGAAATTTGACCTGATGGAGAAGTTGAAGCAGCAGAAATATGAGGTGGGTGGGGCCTGCCTCTGTTGGGGGGGTCAGACTGGATGGGAAGGGGGGAGCAGCGGAGCCAGGGGCGGGCATCCCCACTGCGGACTGCGATCCCAGCCTTGCCTCCTGCCCCACAGATCAACGTGCTGTACAACCGAATCAGCCACGCCCAGAAGTTGTAAGTGCTGCCCCTCCCCCACTTGTCTCCTCCCACTCTCCTTACACCTAGTCCTCCCCCACCTCTCACACCTGGCTCTTCCCTCTTCACACCTGGCTCCTCCCCCTCCCCTCACATCTGGCTCCTCCACAGGTCTGCTCGTCTGTGGCTTCTGCCATCCCACTACCTTGTGGCATCTTCCCCTTCTTCCTGGGACATTCTTTTTGCATTTCTTTCTATATTGGTCCTTGGGGGTTTACTTTTGTTCATTTAAGTTTTAAAAGATGTTTTTTTTTGCTTGTTCAATAAGTTTATTGTCTTTATGAAGATTATTTATTTATTTTTTGGTCTTTTTGAGACAGGGTCTCCCTGTAGCCCTAGCTGTCCTAGAACTCACTATGTAGCCCAGGCTGGCCTTGAACTCACAGAGATCCACCTGCCTCTGCCTCCCGAGTGCTGGGATTAAAGGCGTGCGCCACCATGCCTGGCTATTTTTTTTTTTTAATGTGTGTGTGTGTGTGTGTGAGCCTGCATGAGTTTATATGCACCATGTGTGTGTCTGGTGTCTTTAGAAGCCAGAAGAGGGTGTTGGAGTCCCCTGGAACTGGAGTTACAGGTGGTTGTTAGCCACCATGTAAGTGCTGGAAACTGAATCCGGGTCCTCTGCAAGAGCAGCCAGTGCTCTTAACCACTAAGCCATCTCTCCAGCCCTATTTATTTATTTTTAATACTTTATTTATTACTTTTATTTTATGTGTATAAGTGTATTGTCTGCCTGCATGTGTGTAAGTGCACCTGTGTCATGCAATGCCCATGGAGTCAGAAGAGAGTGTCAGATCTCCTGGAACTGGAGTTACTGGCAGTTGTTAGCTGCCATGTGGGTGCTGGGAACTGAACCCAGATCCTCTGCAAGAGCAGCCAGTGCTCTTAACCATTGAGCCATCCCTCAGCCTCTCTTGTTTGTGTTTTAAGACAGGTTCTGATATAACCTAGACTCACTAAGTAGCTGAGGCTAATCTTGAGTTCCTCATCCTCCCCCTTCAGTCTCCAGAGGCCTGGGATTACAGGCTGTGTCACCAACTCCAGCTCGTTTGTACCAGCTGTTAAGTTTGAGTCTCCTTCCTGCCTTTCTTCCTAATTATGTTCTGTAAAACATTTTTTTCTGGCCAGGTCTAGTGGTATATGCCTTTACTCACAGTATTTGGGAGGCAGAGGCCAGCTGGGTCTGCATAGTGAGTTCCAGGCCAGCTATTTCAACAAAACTTTTTTTCTACATTTACTATGTGTGTGTGTGTCTGTGTGTGTGTTTGTGTGTGTGATTGCACATGTGTGCCATGGTGTATGTGGAAATCAAAGGACAGCTTATTTATGGGTGTTGGTTCTTTCCTTTTACCATTTTGTTAGTGGGAAGTGAACTCAGTTCTTTAGGGTTAGTGGCAAGCATCCTTACCTGCTGAGCCATCTTGCCCCACCCCTTCCTTCTGTTTTTTTTCTTTTTTGGTAGCCCAGGATGATTCTTGATTTCCTTTCGTAACTAAGGCTGTCCTTGAAATCCTGCCTCTACCTCTCAAGTGCAGGGATTACAGAACCACAGTTTTTGTTTTGTTTTGAGAGTCTTGCTATGTATGTAGTCCAGGTTGTCCAAGATCCTCCTACCTCAGCCTCCCTACTGCTGAGACACCACAACCAGCCCTCTCTCTACTTCCTGCCCTCTCTCTCCCCTCTCTCCCTCCCTCTCTTGTCTCTCTCCTCTTACTCCAGCCTCCTGAGCCTGAGCTTTCTTGCGTTACCCCCTCAGCTCACTTTTCCTTCCCCTCATGTCCCTAATTCATAAACCTGTGAGTATTCTGAACTGACCCAGAAAAGTCAACCCCCCACATGGTCACCACCCACCCACAGGGCATTATCTGAAAGAGATGCCACTTCCTGGGGGAGTGACTCAGTGGTGGAACCCTGCCTAGAATCCCCCAGTGAGGGGCTGGGGGTGTGGCTCAGTGGTAGAGTACCTGCCTAGAATCCCCAGTGAGGGCTGGGGTGTGGCTCAGTGGTAGAGCCCCTGCCTAGAATCCCCTGGGGTGTGGCTCAGTGGTAGGGTACTTACCTAGCATGGGTGAGGCCCTAGTTCACCTAGGTCACCAGTACTCAAAAAAGAAACAGAACTGATGGCCTCTGCCCTCTTCTTCCTCTGGGTGAGGATGGGTATTTGGTGGACTTGTACTAGCTCGACTTGGAGACCTGGAGCCTCTTCCTGACACCTCTTTCTTCTCCCACAGCCGCAAGGGGGCAGGCAAGGGCCGAGTTGGAGGTCGCTGGAAGTGAGGCTGTGAGGACACGGCCCGCTGAGTGTCACCCGGGAGCTACTGGAGTGTGTCTCATCTGGAATTCAAATAAAAGTTCCCCAGGCACCTGCTGAGTTCTTTAATGTTGTTATTACTGTGCGGCTGGCTGTGTGGTTTGATTGACATCTCTCCATGCAGCTTGGGAGAGTCCTCAACTGTCATTAAAGGGATGTCAAGTAGGGGCTGGGGATGTAGCTCAGCTGGTAGAGTGCCTGCCTAGTATTCATGAGGCCTGGGTTTTGATCCCTAACATCACATAAACTGGACGGATGTCGCATGCTTGTAGTCCCAGCACTTGGGAGGTGAAGTCAGGAGTATCAGAACTTCCAGGTCATTTTTGGCTACATTGTGAGTTCAAGATCAGCCTGGGCTACATGAGACTCTGTCTTAAAAAATCATACCAATAAACAAGTATCTTAGGGGAAGGGAGAGAATGGGGTGCACATGGCACTCCCTGGGGAGAGACAGGGATGACATATTAATAGATCTATAAGGTGTGATTTTAGGACTCAGTGGGTAAAGGTACTTGCCACCAAGCGTCATGGCCTGAGTTGGATCTCCAGGACCCACATGGTAGAAGGGAAAAACGAACTCCTGAAAGGTGTCCTCTGATCTCTGTGTACTGGCACACAGGCACATTAATGAATATCTATCATCTATCTATCAATCATCTATTTAAAAAGAACTATCTATCTCTGAACTATCTCTGAACCTCTCTGAGGCTGGATTAAGAACACTTGCTGCTCTTGAAGAGGACCCAAGTTTGGTTCCCTGCACCCAGATCAGGTGGTTCACAACTACCTGTAACGCCAGCTCCAGGGGATCTGATGCCCTCTTCTGGCCTCCATGGGTACCTGCACTCATGTACACACACATAGTTTAAAAAAAAAAAAAAAAGACATGATGGTGGGGGGCTTCTTTCTGTTTACTTCTTTGAAGGTGACATTTGGGAGGGTACCACCTTTAGAAGATTAGTAATTTCAATACATCCTTCCTGTTGATGAGTTTGAGGACCCAGGGTCAGTAGCATGATGGGCCATTAGGCATGGTAGCCACGGGTATCCCTGGAAAATTCACTGCCTCTTAAATTTAACTGTTTGTGTGTGGAAAGTAACTCTTTTAAGGACAGTTTTAAGCAACAGGTCAGGGGCTTGGGTGTGTACCCAGCACTGGGGAGGTAGAGTCAGAAAGATTGTGAATTTAGGGCCAGCCTCGGCTTCATATTGAGACCCTGGGTCTCAAGACAAAACAAAACAACTAGATCAAAACTGGCTTGTAACAGTCTCACCTTTGTCTGACGCCGGCCAGGAGTGTAGCCTTATTGCATTTGTGGCTATTCTCAGTTCCCTACCTTATCTGAACCATTTTTGTTTGGACAGAGTCTCACTATGTAGGCCCTGGCTGGTCTGGAACTCTCTATGTAGACCAGGCTGGCCTCAAACTCACAGAGATCTATCTGCTTCTGCCTCCTGAGTACTAGGCTATCTCAACCATCTTTATAATGCATGGTGGAAGAAAGAAAATTTTCTTATTTATGTATTTACTTACTTATTGCTACTGAGGACTGAACATGAGGCCTTGTAGATGCTAGGCAAGTGCTCTACTGTAACTGAGGTATATCTCATGACTTTTAAAAAACATTCTACTTAAGCTGGGCATGGTGGCGCATGCCTTTAATACCAGCACCCGGGAGGCAGAGGCAGGCGGATCTCTGTGAGTTCAAGGCCAGCCTGGTCTACATAGTGAGTTCCAGGACAGATGGGGCTACAGGGAGACCCTGTCTCAAAAAAAAAAAAAAAAAGACCAAAAATCAAAACCAAAACCAAAACCAAAAATGTTCTACTTGAGGAGAGGGTCTCAGTAAGTTTCCCAGGTTGGTCTTGAAGCATTTGTCCTGAGCATTCTGAGTAGCTAGGACTATATAATCCATCAGCTATCAAGCCATCAGGCCTGGATTCTATCTGTTGTTGGTTTGTTTTTTCACCAGCATTGAGGAGGGACTGTGGTTCCACAGGTAAGTACTGAAATGCCTGTTAGGGTGGACAGGAAATGGCACACTTGAAAAATGAAAACATCTTCACACTGGAAGGAGACTCACAGAAGAGAATTTTATCAAGTGATGTACCTTTTTTTCCATTTGTTTATTTAGTGGAAGTGGGCACATCTGCAACAGCAGGGGTGGTGTGGGGGTCAGAGGATGACTTTCGGGAGTCGGTCCTCTCCTTCCACCACGTGGGTCTCAGGGTTTGAACTCAGATCATCAGGCTCGGTGGCAAGGACCTTTACACACCAAGCCATCTAGCTGGCTCCTCAAGTGGTCCAGAAAGGAACATGCACACCAGCCAATATCACCTGCTTATCAGTTCCTGTTCTGCATCTCTACAAACCTAGGAAACAAGGACAAAGAACCAGGGCTGAAGAGACAGCTCAGCAGTTAAGAACACAGGCTGTTCTTGCAGAGAACCCCGGTTGCAATCCCAGCACCCACAAAATACATAACCACTAACAACTCTCTGTATCTCCAGTTCCAGGGAATCTGACCCCCTGTTCTGCCTCTGTGGGCAGCACATGGTGCACTTACATATAAGCAAGCAAAACACTCATACTCACAAAAAACATATAAAAATAAATTAATTAAAAATATCAGCTAAACTCTAAAGCTAACTTAAAAATTGCAACTAGATCTCATGGTTAACTATGATCTGCAGATCATCCAGTGGTTGACCAGATAACCCAAATTGTATGTTGTCCTGTAAATAAACAACATCCTGAAAATACATTAATTTGCATGGATATTTACAAACACAAGCCCTCATAAACAATACACACATAGCCACAGACAGGATCACAAATACACACAATTGGGTGTCATAATTATGTGCTCCTGGGAGAAAAATGTTGGTATGTGTGTGTGGGTGGGGGGAGTTCAGTCATCTGACATCTTAAAAACCACAGGACTGCTAGGTTCAGTGGTTCATGTCTGTAATCCCAGCACTCCAGAGGCAAGGCACGTGGATCTCAGTTTGACGGAGGCCAGCCTGGTCTACATTGTGAATTCTGGGCCCGCTGGGGTACAAAGAGACCTGGTCTCAACAAAACAAAACAAATGTAAAACAAAAAACAAAACAGAACAAAATCACAGAACTGTCTCTCTGGATTACCCCTCACTTCCCAGGGCTTTACGGTTTATTTCTCTGCACAAAACCAAAGATTACAGATACCGCCTGAGAAAACGCAAGTTTTGGACTACAAACCCCATCTTGCCACAACAGCGTGTCATCTGAGCTACATGTCCCAGTGTCCTCTGGACATGGTGGGCTCAGGAAAATTGTGTTGTCATTTTTGGGCCCGCCGCTTTGGAGTCCTCTCTCTAGTGTGATGAAGGGATTACCGCCAGAGACTGTGGACTTACCTTGAGCTGGAAATCTGTCCAGGGGTGCCTTGGGTCTTGCCTACGACATCTGGGCATTTGGGTGCGTGGACCTGAGGACTACATTTCCCAGCGTGCCCTTTCTTGGTATGATTGCCCTGACCTTTGCAGGAAGAACTTTATTTCCCAGCGTGTCATGGGCAGTCACCCATCAAGTTTAGGACTGACTGTTTTAAATCTGGTTCGGACTCAATTTCCCGTGGGCCCCGATCTTTCTGATGCCCTAGGGAGCCCGTTCATTCTTTCATTTATTCAAAAAGTATTTTTAGGGATTGGAAAGATAGCTCAGAGGTTATGAGCACTGGCTGCTCTTGCAGAGGACCTGGGTTCGAGTCCCAGCACCCATGAGGTTGCTAACAACCATCTGTAACTCCAGTTCCAGGGGATCCGACATCCTCTTCTGACCTCCCCGGGCATTGCACAACATGGGTGTACTTACACACACGCAGGCAATATACTCATACACATAAAAATAATAAAATATTTTAAAAAGTATTTTCTAACGCTCAGTTCTAGGCACCGAGACTAAGGCGTGCTCGCGGAAGGCAAATATCCCTCCTTTATGGAGGCTATTTCTGGTTGATGGGGGCAGATTTTTGAAAAGCACATCTTGTGCGCCTGTAATCTCTGCAATTAGGAGGCGGAGGCAGGAGGAGCAGTTCACGGCCATCCTTAGTTACATATTGAGTTCCAGGCCAACCTGGGCTGAATGAGATCCTATTCTAAAAAAAAAACCAAAATGAAACCCTAGGAATAAATACATGATATAGTGTACATAAAGTTGATGAGATGTATGGAAAATTCGTTCTGTACCATTCAGGATCCGTACCCAACATCATTTCCCACTTACCTTTCGACGTCACGCTCTTTGGCCTCTTTACATAGTACTCTGACTGCATTTCCCAGCATGCCCAGGGACATCCCCCTTGACTTACAGAGCCCGTTTCCCAGAGTTCCCCGGGGGCATGCCCTCCTTCAGGCGGTTTTCATTACACCCCCTGAAGCTGCAGACTTCATCATGTGCCTCGGGATATAGCGAGTCTAGGAACTTCCGCTTATAGACTTCCTTTCCCAGCGCTCCCTGCGGCTTGCCTACTGCTTCGTCTCACATCCGGCGAGGACTACAGGCTTCTCCTCGATGAGGACTTCATTTCCCAGCGCTCCCTGCGGCCTACTTCCGGCCTCCCTCGCCTCTTCTGTGAGGCTTAGTCGTGTCTCCTTAATAAAGACTCCATTTCCCAGAATGCCCTGAGGCTAGCCTAATGCTTCCTCTCAGTCACATCGGGCGAGGACTTCAGGCCTCTCCTGGATAAGGACTTCATTTCCCAAAGCGCCCTGCGGCCTGCTTCCTGGCTAGTCGGGTCTCCTGGATGAAGACTCCATTTCCCAGCGCGCCCTAGGACAGCGTCGTGACGTCAGCACGCCGAGCCGGGGGGGCCGAGCCTTACCGCTGGGCGGTGCGCTGTGAGTGACCGTTCCCGGCTGCGGCCCCCGGGGCGGGTCGGTGGCTGCTGTTAGTCGCCGGGCCCTCCCTCCCTCCCTCGCTCGCTCGCTCGCTCGCTCGCTCGGCGGGCGGGCGGCCGGCACGATGTCGGGGGAGGACGGCCCGGCAGCGAGCTCGGGGGCGGCGGCGGCG